ACTACCGTAGCACTGGTAGTTGGAGTCGAAGTAGCGAGAAAAGCCGGAATCGCCGATAATATGGCGTTGGCGAAAAGGAACACGACACAGAAACTGGATAGCAATGGATGAACACATATGTATATAAGAATATACATGTATCGCGGAACTCGGACTTCGCGGGGAATAAGACCAATCGCACTAGGAATCGATTTGGGAAGACGCAATCGTACTTATCTTCGGAATGTAATCCACAGATTCTTGCTGATTGGACTCCTCCTTATAGGGAAGGCGAAGATCCGGCCCGAAGGACCAATGATTGCAGGAGGGTGGATGTTGGACGTCCCCAAAGACCGTATTCCCAAATAAAAGTAGTCGGGGGCGTCAATTACATGTTTGCGTATATTTGCGGGTAATTGATACAGCTGGGGGTTGATGTGCGCTTGTAATCGGTTCGTAGTTGAACAGAGACTCCCACTATGTATTTTGGGCAGCATAATGCTAGCGCCAGTGCTGGAGAGTCGAGTGGATCGTGACTGAGCAGCGCAAGAGCAAAGGGCACGAGAGAGAGAGCGAGCTAACAGTCCGCTGTTAGCAACGCTGTCAACCGACTGTTAACGCTGCTATGTTAACAGCGCTGCTGGCCTGAACAGATGTATAATATACATTGTAGATGTAGATAGCAGATGTAGCAAAAAAATGTAAAATTAAAAATTATTTTTTTTTGTTCTAAAATTCTAAAAAATCATAAGCTCAAAAATGTATATACTGGTATAAGTAGAGTCGCGTCCCCAGAAGCAACTCACACGTTCCTTCTCGTTTTTTTTGCCCCCATCCACAACGCTACCCGCCACTGAAGGCCAAATTCCAATATCATCTTTCATTTTTCTTTTAATTAATAAATAGTTATATAAGTAATTATAAGTAAGCAAATAAACCCGCCACTGAAGGCGTGAGATCAGTTAATACCAAAATACTAAAGATGGTGGACGAGGTGGCAACCCCTAAAACTATCGATACAGAACAGGAGGAAGCTATCGAAAAGGAAGAAGAAAACAACAGCGTTCGAGGCAGGCAGAGATTTGAGCAGCCGATCACTTAGCGACAAACCTCGAAGCCACGCGGAGGCACATTTTCTGAGTGACAAACTCCTAGCTACGCACCGGTACACGCCGACATAGCCTCGCCACGCCTAACTCGCCATTCAAAACCACGCGTATCTGTTTTCAGTAACAGAAAACACACGAATACGCCGCGAACGCCGAACGTGTCCATGGCTATGCGAACCCCGCGCATATCCAACTCAGCCCGGTTCATTACCTGCCTCGCCTTCTCCTGTTCCCACTGAGCCTTTGCGACAACGCACTACTCTGCCTCGTCTTCTCCTGTTCCCAATGAGCCTTTGCGACAACGCACTACTCTGCCTCGCCTTCTCCTGTTCCCACTGATCCTTTGCGACCACGCACTGCTCTGCTCGCCTTTTACTGATCCTTCTGAGCCTTGGCGACAACGCACTGCTCAGCCTCGCCTCTCCCAGATCCTATCGAGCATTCGGTGGCTTTGCGACGACGCGCTGCCCCACCCACCTCGTTTCCAAGCCACGCCTGTCCCCTATCCTGAAGCACACGCTCCAGGTAGCGGGATCAACCACCACTTTGAGCGGTGGTTGATCGGCCCGCAACCTTCCAAAAGGTATTTTTTGTTCATTTTTTCCATATTTTAGGTTTGGCTAACGAATTTTAGCTCCAAAGTCTCTCCATAGATTTTAATGAACGATACCTTAAACGACGCCAAATTAATGCACCTATACACAAAAAAAATAGAGGATACAGGATATCATTTTTTTCGACTTTTCCTGAGTTTTTAAAGTCAAAATGTCGTAAAAAATACCGCACAAAAATCATAATTTTTTCATTTCAATGCTTTATATTTCCCAGACGGTAAGCTGTAATCACAAAGTGTTTGGCCTTAACTTCAAGCTGTTTTAATTGTCTTTACAAAATAGCAAAACCAGACGTAAAATACAAGAGTTATGTGAAAAAAACAAGCGCTTCCTCTGAAAAAAGCTTTAAAAAAAAAACCAGACTTCAAAAATTAAAAAAAAAAAAGTTCTGCCATAGAAAAAAAACAATATTTCTTTAAAAAATTTTAAATCTCCATATCTATCAGAAAAAGTCGGTTTGGATCCTTGAGGAAATAAAAAGTTCGAATTTGTCGAGTAGTGTTATTTAGAGCCATTTCTTATTTATTATACGAGACCCAAGAAAGGGCCCAAAAATTCGAACACATATAGAAGAACATGTTGTTTGTAATTGGCAGAGATTGCATCCATTGACCCATAATAGAGAAGGCGATAATTCTGAAAGCTCTGATGACTATGCATCGAATATGATAATATCATCGACACACAGAAGCACTTGAGAATTAATTGCCGTTTGTAAAATGTATTTCAGTTCCATCAAAGTTATTAACAATGTGGACTTATTTACAAATTTCTTTTGAAAATAAAGAAATGTCTAATATTACAAATAACAAAAATAGTACGAAAAAAAGGTGTTGGTGCAGAAAAGTGTTACATTTACAAATCTTCTTTCAAAAATATCAGCGAGCGAAGCCACCGAGGGCTTGCTAGTAAAATCATATTTTGACCGAGGTTGCGTCAGTTAAATCGATGTAAAATTTCGCGAAAATTCAGATATACAGGGGTGCCAAATCACTTCCGCTTGAATTTCTCCTTAATTCCAATCAGCGGTGCCACAAAAAGATTTTTACGCTGATTCGAAACCGCGTACATGTCATCCAGCGATTTTAATAAAAACACCCATAAAACACACTTAAAATCCTATTTTGAATACTACTTTCCCATAAAGGTTGTTCAATTGGTGATTAACCCTCATCCAAATAATTTAACATTATACATGTTAAGTCAATAAACTAAGCATTTAGTAAGTCACTATCCAATCGGGCGTCCGAGAGTGCCACCTAGTGCGACTTGGACTTTCCCGAAATTTCGACTTTAAAAACTCGGGAAAAGTCGAAAGAAAAATAATTCTTGGCTTGCATTTTGAGTTTTAGATACCCGCATTAATTAGGCGTCGTTTAAGGTATTGTTCATTAAAATCTATGGATAAACGGTGGAGCTAAAATTCGTTAATCAAAACGGAAAAAATAGACAAAAAATACTTTTTGAAAGGTTGCGGTCCCAACTGCCAATTGGAAACGAAGCAAACGAAACTTTGGCATTGGACCAGCAACGGTATTTTTCAGGTAAAATTAGTTTTGAGTCGTTTTGGTCAAATGGCTGCAAGTTGACCGTTTATCCATAGAATTTAATGAACAATACCTTAAACGACGCCTAATTAATGCGTCTATCTAAAACTAAAAATTTTGGCCAAGAATTATTTTTATTCGACTTTTCCAGTGTTTTTAAAGTAAAAATTTCGAAAAATAATACTGCAAAAAATTATGAAATTTGAATTTGAACGCTTAATATCTTCCAGGCGTTAAGCTGCAGATACAAAACGTCTAGGTCCGATTTATAGCTGCATTTGTCAGCTTTTCAGAACTGCATAGTTCTATGCCACCAGATATAAGATACTTAAGTTATGTGAAAAATAAAAGCACTACCTCTGAAAAAAAACCATGAAAAAATACCAGATTTTAAAAATCCTTTACAAAAAATTGACACCATAAAAGAAAAAAAAGTACAAACAAATTTTAAAATCCCGAAATCTATCAGAAAAAGTCATTTTGGTTCACAGCCTAAATAAAAAGTTCAATTTTGTTGAGTAGTGTTATCTCTTCAAAAAAGAAAAGTTTTTTACAATGAGACGTAAGATACTAGACTTATGAGCGCTACCACTAACCATACAGTATATAGATGTGCCAGTTCATACAACGAAAGGGGCGCAGCTGAGCTTGCAGCGAACGTTCCCAGATCTTCGGCTTTGGGAATGGCCGCGTTGGGCTCATGACGTCACACGAGCCGACTGGCAGCAAGCATGCATGTGTTGTGTACGTGTACACTCCAAAATATATGATTGTATGCATAGAATAATTTTTAGCTGCCGAAACCGACTTTGTTCGAGATTTCAGTTTAGGTAAACGTGTGTGTGCCATGTATTCACACATACTGTGCTTGTGTGTGGGCTCTACAATTTTTGGCCGCTTGAATTGGTTTTTCGTTTTGTTTTGAGGGCTGATGTGATGTAGCGACCTATTCAGGGCCGGATCAACCCTAACCGGGCCCTGGGCAACCATCAATCTGGGGCCCTCCTTTATTTTGTATTTTTCTCAGTGGCTGTTATATTTTTTATTCATTATTTGGAGTTTTGTTTTTTCAACAAAATTTTTATGTTATCCCTAGGAGGCCCTAGGCAACTGCTAATCCGGCCCTGGACCTATTCCCGTCGTAAGACTTCATATTTTCTTGGTGTGTTCTGTAGCTCGACTCGACGCGGGTTGAGGCATTGACGAAGCGGTTCATAAAATATTTTTTCGTTTTGTTTTGAAAAGCTGATGTTGCGACGGGCGCGCGGCTCTCTTTTAGGCTAGCCTTTGCCTCTGCTTTTAGGAATATTCGATTTCTTTCCCGCTTCCCAGCACATTTGTACACTTTACTGCCTATCAGTGATACCATCACGCCTAATAACAACAAAGAATAGAAGTTCAAAATTCGAATTATGCCCTCTGCACACTGAGCACATCCCGGGGGAACGGTGGGAATTTTTGATTCACACTGAGACCATCCACCATCCATGAGAAACAGCTATTGCTCACAACTGCGTGCGGTGAAAATTTGTAAACATTTATAATTAAAATGAATATAAATAACATTGGTTGTGAATGTGATTCAGCAGCAAAACATATACTTGCACAAGCTTATCATGTTGCTGGACATGGATGATGATAATAATGAGGCTAACATTGACGAGGAGAATTTATTGGAATGGATCTGTTTTGAAAACACTGAAGCGCGGTCATTTGAGACTGCTTCTACTAAATCCAATCAATGTTTTAAATACAAATATATATTTTAAGTTTTTCGAGAAGCGGCTTGGGACATTTAACTGACGGAAAGCAAACCTTTCAAATTCACAAAACACACAATCAAAGCATACTTGATTATGCTTTCATTTTGTATGCGAGGTTTGGATATTGTTAAAAAAAAAAATATAACCTATTCGGCCACATACAAAACCAAAACAAAATTTGGTAAAGCCACAACGGAACACTAGATTTGTATAAGAGTAAGTCCGAAGGCTATTGTGGATTTGTAATATTTGTAGTACCGCCAATTTTATTTAAAAGTTTGGAATTTTTTCGACTAATTCTACAATTTTCGACGTGGATTTTCTGGACAGGAATGATTCGATCTTAGTTCAACTTTTGGTGATGAAACATCATGCGAAAAACTGGCAAAACGAATTCAGAAGTGTACGTCCGTCGCTGCACAACGAATCCCATTGATTGTCAAAAACAGTTGTTAGTTTGGCTCTTGCAATATCGCCATATGACATACCATAAGATGGAGTTGTTTTCCGAAACTAAGGGGACAAAGATACATTTGAAATACATTATCATTAACGATATCGTGAAGACAGCATAACATTCGTCCCTAAAATGGCTTTTAGAATTAGGGACAGACAACATCTGGACCATACCAAAATAATGATATGCTTAATGATATCGTGAAGACAAAATTTGTTGAATATTTATGAAAATTAATAAAAATAATGTATTATAGTATCCATATAATTGTCATTCATATAATACTGCATTAATTAGATTATATTTGTCTTCATTATTTAAATATTTCATTGGTTTTTTGTTCTCATGTTGCAATGACACGAGCCGACGGACAGCAAGCATGTATGTGGGTACGTGTAACAGTCCAAAATATATGATTGTATGCATAGAATCTGGCAGCGACGTCGACGTCAGCATGAAATTCTGTCCAGCTTCAACTGCTGCAAATCGAAGCTGACACATAAGAAAGAGAAGCAGATATCCATAGATTTCCCTCTCTCTCATATTTCTAGTTTTCTCTACCTGCATTCGACCCTAAAGCCTAGTACTCAGATCGAAAAACTGTTTGCTAGCAAACAGATGTCATATATTTTTCGAGCGACCAGTGGTGTGACCAGAGGTGTCACTGCATTCCGAACGGTTACACTGCTCAGACCGCTGCTTGGTTTTGTTTAAAGTTAACAAAATGCACTTCTTCGGCTGGGGCCGCTCTTCCCCAGGCATATCCTGGGCTCCCCAATATTTTATTGGCAAGGTAATGTGTCTGACTATCAGCAGCAGCAGATGGCGACGCCACCCGTGCCGACCACCGTGAAGACAAACTGTTTTGAAAGCAATATTTGTTTTATATTTATGAAAAATAGTAAAAAATATTATATTATAATATCCATATAATTGTCCTTTATATAATGCTGCATTAATTAGATTCTATTTGTCTTCATTATTAAAATATTTCATTTGGTTTTTTGTTCTCTTATTGCAATGTTTACTTCGTGTTTGCTGGCAAAAGATATCAAATTGATATCTTTTTCGAGGTTGGTCGAAACATACCAAAAAAACAAGCAAATACTTCTGATAATTTTCCAGTACATAACGACCTTTTTGTTTTTCGATCTGAGTACTGCCACTAACCATACAGGATATAGATGTGCCAGTTCATACAACGAAAGGGGCGAAGCCGAGTTTGCAGCGTATGTTCCCAGATCTTCGGCTCTGGGAATGGCCGCGTTCGGCTCATGACGTCACACGAGCCGACTGGCAGCAAGCATGCATGTGTTGTGTACGTGTAACACTCCAAAATATATGATTGTATGCATAGAAAAATTTTTAGCTGCCAAAACCGACTTTGTTCGAGATTTCAGTTTACGTAAATGTGTGTGTGCCATGTATTCACACATACTGTGCTTGTGTATGGGCTCTACAATTTTTGGCCGCTTGAATTTGTTTTTCGTTTTGTTTTGAGGGCTGATGTGATGTAGCGACCTGAGCTGACCTGCCGCAACATAAATGAGGAATGGGCAGAGTGGGTGGGGGTGGGAAATAAATACAATATATAAAAATAAAGGATGTTATCTCTGCACATATCTCCTAAACTAAAATTATCTTGAAAATTATATTCGCTAAAGCTCTGGAAAATGTTCTACTAGATGTGTACATTTATTTTATTCAAAGCGTTCATAAAATATTTTTTAATTTTGCCACCTCTTTTCGCTGAGTCCCCAATGTAAATACACACAGTACAAACAAATAAAAACTTTAAATTTTAAAGTTTAAAACCAAAATCGACCTATTCATGGCCGGATCAACCCTCAACCGGGCCCTGGGCAACCATCAATCTGGGGCCCTCCATTTTTTCACGCCAGTTCCTTCTTTTTTCATTTAAAAAAAAAAACTTATAAATTTAATGTTTTTTTTAATTAATTTGTATGTTTATCAGTGGCTATTATATTTTTTATCCATTATTTGGAGTTTTGTTTTTTCAACAAATTTTTCTGTTAGCCCTCGGCAACTGCGAATCCGGCCCTGGACCTATTCCCGTCGTCAGACTTCATATTTTGTTGGCGTATTCTGTCGCTCGACTCGACGCGGGTCGAGGCTAGTGCTGCCAACTTTTCATCAGGAAAAAAAGCCATTTCTGACTTGTACAAGACACAAAAAAAGCTGAAAAATTACAGAAAAAAGCAAAAAAAAAGCGTAATTTTTGGGTTTAACAATTTTTTTATTTCTGTAGTATTTTATAGGGTTTTTACTGTAAGACCGCCATTAATTCGTCTAACTCAGCGTAATTGTCTTCAGGCTCGCAATCGTACGACTTGGTCGTACCAATCAAGCGAAGATAATTTTTGGGCACATCATAATCGAAACAGCATTTTCCCAGTCTTCGTAGTTTTGTGACGCTGATATCTGTTGATTCGTCGAGTAAGAGACTGAATTTGGAGTCCCCAATATCGCTGCACAAGTCTTCGAGAAAATGACGCGCCAGAAAATTCTTAATGATGCTGGTGCATTTCGTTCGATGCAGCTTAACTCGTCCTGCAGCTCCAACTTCAAAATGTTTGTTGCACAAATTGCCCAAATGATCAACTTGTGCCATGGATGCATGTTGAGCAATAAAAAGACACAACGCTGCTTCCTGTTTTGTTTTGTTTTGTTGTGTGAAGCCGGTCGTCGAACTCGTGTGCTTCTTCGTTTTCGCATGAGCCCGCAGATCACTAAGTTTGGCTATTATTGTGATTTTGCAATAGCTGCAGTACACCCTATGCTCATCAGTATCGTCCTTTCTTGCCCAAGCTTTAAATTCATCGCTTTTAAGCCAAGCATCGCGGCACTTCTGCTTATATTCTTTAGGCATTTCACAAATTGTTATACGTTAACATTCACTTTCGCGCACATAGGGATGGTAGAACTGTATAGAGATGATAATATTCTTAGAACTAGTGGTGGAGTTGCAAATATCGATACAAAAATATGACTAGTCTCATACTTTTTGATTCAAGTATAGCAACAATAAAAAAAAGCGGAAAAAAGCCAAATAATATTCTAAAACATCCAGAAGTCCCGCTTCACGCAATTGCCAAACTATTCCCTCAGTTGTTCATCAAAGCCAGATTTGACGGGAAAAAAGCGGAATCGGCAGCACTGGTCGAGGCATTGACGAAGCCGCCATTGAGAAAGCAGCGGCAAAGGCTAGCCTAAAAGAGAATGGAAGAAATACCACGCGCGCCCGTCGCAACATCAGCATTTCAAAACAAAACGAAAAAATATTTGATGAACGCTTTGAATAAAATAAATGTACACATCTAGTAGAACATTTTCCAGAGCTTTAGCGAATCTAATTTTCAAGATAATTTTAGTTTAGGAGATATGAGCTGAGATAACATCCTTTATTTTTATATATTGTATTTATTTCCCACCCTCACCGACTCTGCCCATTCCACAGTTATATTGCGGCAGGTCAGCACAGGTCGCTACATCACATCAGCCCTCAAAACAAAACGAAAACGAAAAAATTGTAGGGCCCACACACAAGCACAGTATGTGTGAATACATGGCACACACACATTTACGTAACCTGGAAACGAAACTCAAAACAAACTAAAAACGGTTTCGGAAAATAAGAATTGATACAAAATTTTGTCGTGTCTGTTTACACACATACATTTGCAATTCTCAGCTTGCTTTCGCTTCCCGTCATGAGTCATACATGCCGAACGGCCCAGCTCCTGACCCGAATGGCCTGGCTCCCGACCCGAATGTCTCAGCCTCACAGAGCCGAAGCGACTGGGAGCCGGGACAGAACACTCAGCTGCGTCCCTTTCGTTGTATGAACTGGCACATCTATATACTGTATGGTTAGTGGTACTGCCTTCCGTAAAGAGCCTAGAAAACAGTTTTTGCCGTAAAAAATTTCTTATCGGTTTCATACGAATATTAACCCTGATTCTGTTCGCGAGGTGTTTTTTTCGATCTGAGTACTAGGCTTAACTCTTCTACTCTTGCTCATTTCGTCTCCTTAAAGGGATGATGGGAGAAAAACCGTTCAATTGGTGCAATCTTTTGTTGCGAGCGCCTGTGATTTTTTGTTGTTGTGCGTCTATTTAGATGTTTATTCTTTTAAAAGCAGTTTTTCAGTGTTTTGAAATCAGGTAAGTGGATACAGTGATTAATGTGTGCCTTGTTAGTTAAATTGAATTGTTACATGGGTTTCGCTAGAAAAATATGTCTAGATTCTAGAACATTCTAGCCGTGTGGTTAAACGAGTGTGTCGCTGCGCGTGTTTTTTTTCGCTCGAGGAAACCTATGTAACTGTAAATACTGGATTTTTAATTTAATAAAAAATATATATGCAATTTGACTTATTTATTTACAGATCAAAAAAGTTCGGAAGTTGCTGGAGAAGGACCCATTGTCTAGGTGCCTCAAAAGTGTGCTGGACGAAACAGTATTCCAGGAGTACAACCTAAACGGGATTTGCGGGAAAAAAATGTTTAAAATGCCCCGCCCGACTATTTCATTTTAGGAGAATTGCTGCTTCTTAACCCGTAGGGCCTACGGATAATTAAAAATATTTAAATCAACAAAAAATCTAGAAAATCGGTGTAAAATAAATATATTTACTTTTATTTGAAAAAAATGTTTGGGTGGCTTGTTTATATGAAATTATCCCTGAAATTCCTCTTATTTTCATGAGAAGTTTTCCCAGGTGATTTCATATAGGAAACTGCACACTGCAGTTCCAAAAGTCACTTTTCACTCGTGATTTATTCGGTGAATCACTCATGGCATGTATACAATATATAAAAAAAAAGATGTGAATTGTTTGATTTATTTGAAATTGCACATTTACATATACATATCCCTAATTTACACAGGTTTCTTTGGTAAGTTACATATAGTGCGAATGCCGTCGGCTTTCGACTTTGCAACTCTGTCAATAAATTTATAGTTTTCAGAGAACTTTTTAATACGATAAAATTATGTACAAAGTATATCCTTCTAAATATACATATATATGCAGGCTTTTGGTATTTACATACATATATTTTGATTTTTTACCACTTTTTTATCATATACAGTCGACTTTGTCAGTAAATTTATGTTTTTTAGATTTGTAACGAACCATGGTTCTAGCCATGGCTCGTCACAAACGGCGAAGGGTCAGCGCATCCACGCTGGCGGGAGACAATAACCAAACTGAT